ACACCTGGGGCGTATTCATTATGCCGTTTCTGTTGCAAAACGTTTCTTAAACGAAACAGGATCTACCTGAATTTGTTCAATAGAAACTCTCGTTTTAGTTGCAAAACCATTTTGCAACTGTTTGGACTATTGATTACTCCCCTGCTTACTTCCGCATTTGGTCTGATTGGTCCATTGCGTTTGCGTAGCACATGGAGATGTGTGAAACTCACTCCTCAGCCTGAAGTGTACCCAATTGCGAATCAGGAGGAAGTGGTACTCGTTAAGCAAGCAGCGTGACATTCGTTACAAATGGTGCCTTGACTCGGATCTGCAGTTGCACTCAGCTCAACGCTAGGGTCGCTGTGGAGTAAGTTTGAGGGGTGAATGCCGAATAACTAGCTTTTTGCGTGGCACGACTGGCAAGACACTTCGGGAGAGCGGTCACGTGTGCTAACAAGGCAGAGGTCCTGGTTTCGAGCCTCGGTGTGAGGCTAACCAGGAGTAAGCAGTACTCGATAAGCAGGCAGCGTGATATCCGTTACATATGGCCATGACTCACTTATCTACTTCCCTTCAATAATTTGAAAGGGAATGACTGGTATAAGAAATATGGTGGAAACTCCCACTAGCCTAGCCCATGGCCACGTCCCAAATGGCGCATTGTTAGCTACCTTTATAGTTAGCTACTTTTGACAGGAGCCTTATGGGCCCTGGTCAAAGTAGTTCACTATATAGGGAATAGGGTGCCATTTGAGATGGAACCCATGTCTCCACCAAGCCAATGCTTTTAGATTTGTGGTAAGTAGTCTGCAGGTGGCTTGGAATGCAGCCAGATTATTCTATCATTTCATGTGTTGTTGCCTAATAGGTGTCTTTCTCCCATCTATTTTAACAGTGCCATTATCTTGTCTGCCAGTCAGCTATCCATGGTCCACACAACGCTGCCTACGTACTTCCTTTGGTTAACCTGTTTCCATGCATCAATCTGGGGCACAGAGACTTGCAGGTTTGTGTCAAGTTACCGAACACCTTTTCCTCAGCAACGGCAGAGCTGCAAATGATAAGGCCATCATATCTCATTTCAACATCACTTGCATCATCAATGCCACACAAAACATCACAAACACTTCCACTGCAGAGGTGGAATATGTCCATATACCTGTTACAGACTCTCCATCTTCGCCTCTGAGTGAGTTCTTTGATGAGGTAGCGGATAAAATCCAGCTCGTTGGGGAGCAGTGTGGACGCACATTGGTTCACTGCAATGCAGGTGTGAGTCGCTCAGCTACGTTATGCTTGGTGTATCTAATGAAATACCATGGAATTACACTTTTGGAGGCCCACAAAAAGGTCAAATCTTGTCGACCTATTATTAGGCCAAACAATGGATTCTGGAAGCAACTCATCCAGTATGAGCGCAAGCTCCGTGGTGGTGCCACGGTCACAATGATAACTTCCCCCATGGGTGAAATACCTGACATTTATGAAGAGGAGACCAGAGATATGCTTCCTCTTTGACCTTCACTGTTAAAATGATTGTCAACCCAATTGTAAAAATGCATTACTACTATGTTTTATATCCAGTATGTTGAGTTGAACTGGAAGTGGTCCTCTCAAATGTTGTATTTGTAAACTTTATGATTCTGAATAAAAAATTACACTTGTACAATGTCACTCTTTACGATTTACAACTAAACAAAAAAGGTTTGTAAATGTTTTGTAAAGGCTACAACTTCAACATATGGTCATCCAGGGTAAGAAGTGTCCCCAGGTAGAATAGTAAAAAAATATTAATTCAAATGGCAATGAATATTGTTAAATACATTTTATTCATTTCAACTCCCACCAAAAAAGAAAAACATTTGCATTGTTGTGACTATAGTGACCAAACCACGGCAACATCGTAGAACTATAAAATGTCATTTTTAATCCATGTTTAGCTTAAAATTGGTCCAGCATACAAAAAGGACCTGTGCAAAATGACTACTTCCATTTGCCATATACTCACCTATTGACTATTGAAAAGCACATTGTACGGAAAGATCTCTATGAAACAAGGCCCTGGGTAGAAATATAGTGATCATTTAGGACGCAGGCATAGGAGAGAAATATACACTGGCTCACAGTCAAGAAAATATTATCCAATAGATATTCAATCTTCCTCTACATTCCTCTGAATGTTACTCAATACTCTTCATTTTGTCAAAATGTCTACCCTACCTAAAGCCCTCAAAGGACAACTTTGTTGAGACCATGAAAGGTTTGGCACAGATCAGCTATTCACGTTATCCCTCTTTAGGTACATCATAACAAAGAACATAAATTACATAATGCCCCCCTTCACATGCTAGATAGCTCAAATCCAGGGTAGAGCCCTGCACGGGCATGAATTTTAAGCACTACACATGCCCGCGACGTTCAGACACTACCCTACCCAGGCCCGATTGCTTCTGCCAAATTTAAGGCCCGAAACAACTTCCTCACTTAGTAAATCCATTAGGTGCTCCTCTCTGTGTCTCTCGCTCCCTGCGCGCAGGCAGCTCGCTCTGCATGCACTATGCTCATGGCGACTCTGAGTCTGTGTAACCACACACCATAACAACGGCTCCGTTTGGGCTGCTCTGCTCAATGACGACTTTTTTTTTTTGTCATTTAGCAGACGCTCTTATCCAGAGCGACTTACAGTTAGTGAGTGCATACATTATTTTTTAATTTTTCATACTGGCCCCCTATGGGAATCGAACCCACAACCCTGGCGTTGCAAACGCCATGCTCTACCAACTGAGCTACATCCCTGCCGGCCATTCCCTCCCCTACCCTGGACGACGCTGGGCCAATTGTGCGCCGCCCCATGGGTCTCCCGGTCGCGGCCGGCTACGACAGAGCCTGGATACGAACCAGGATCTCTAGTGGCACAGCTAGCACTGCTATGCAGTGCCTTAGACCACTGCGCCCCTCGGGAGTTTGAGACATGAGAGAGCTGTTAAAGCCCAATACCGTCAACCAATCATGTCAATGCAGAGCTATTCAAAGCTATAAGGAGCCCTCCGCATTGTTACAAAATCTGAGAGGCGATGTGGCCTCAGCAAGCCTCCAGATGCGCCGCAGCTGCGTCACAACCTCCGGAGGCTTGCGGAGGACGCATGTCACAATAAGGAGGGCTCCGTATAGATTTGTATAGCTCTGCATTGACATGAATGGTTGATGGTAGGTGGGGGCGGTACATCCTGTATAAACACAAACGCACTTCCTTGACAACAACTCTGCTCCACAAGAAGTATGAATGCCTTGACTTCTGCTTCTGCCAATACAGAGTCCAGATTAACCATAAATCGGCTTTTAGCTACTTTGTCACTCTAAACTCCTACAAAACTCAAGGAACATTATTTTCTGTGAAATAATCTCTCCTGTCATATTTTAAGCACTTCTGACACCATGTTATGATCTTAGTCAGATGTGACTGTACTGAGCAGCAGAGCACAAGCAAATGGCTCAGCTTTAAAATGTTACTGATCAATTTAGTGATGCCCGTACCCTAGTTATTGATGGAAAAAAACAGGCCCTACCCGGCCCTAACCCGATGTATAATGTTGGGGCCCGTCTGGCTCGGGTCATGTAACAGAGCTCTAATCCAGGGGTGTCAAACATATGGCCTGCGGGCCGGAGCTCATTCAATCCATGCCTCGGGGGAGGGGGGCTGGTGTAAAAAAAAATATATATAAATGTTTTAAACAATCTCAATTCACATTAAAATGACTAAAACCAAATTGAAACTGGAAAAATTATAATGGACCTACATTTATATAGTCTCTTCAGTCTGTCCAGCTTGCTAACAGTCATCTAAACCAGGGTTTCCCAAACTCGGTCCTGGGCCCCCCCCCTGGGTGCACGTTTTGTTTTTTTCTCTAACACTACACAGCCGATTCAAATAATCAAAGCTTGATGATGAGTTGGTTATTCGAATCAGCTGTGAAGTGCCAAAACGTACACCCAGGGGGGGCCCCAGGACAGAGTTTGGGAAACCCTGATCTAATCGAATGCTAGACAGGGAGCATTGAAAATTCCAAAAGTGATGGATATGGGACTATTTTTTTCAAATTCTGACAGTGAGGAAATATAACAAACTTTACATGTGGCCCTCCGGACCTCGTGAAGACTGAATGCGTTTGACACCCCTGCTCTAATCTATTTGGAATTTAGGCCTAGGTTAACTTCAGTATCATTCATCCACCGGCATTATCAGTCACACAATCAATTTCACTGTTTTCACTTACTCCACTCCAACCAACAGCCAATACAATGCAACATAGCAACTAAAAAGTCCCTTTCCTCTGCCATCTCAGAAGGGATCAAGCTAACAAGAGAAAATACAACACTCCAAAACATACAAGAAGTACATTTACATTCATCTGGCCAACATTGTGGTCATCATTGCAGGTGTCCAACTACTGTCCTACAGTACTTTCAAACACTAAGGGACCAGTTAGAATCCTCACAATTTAACAATTTCTTCTGTGACAAAAAATGATCTTGAGTCAGAACTGAAAACACAAAGGACATCCCAAAGTACCACAATAACACAGGAGTGCAAACACAAGCATGCTTATCTTTCTCAGCTTCATAGATTCAGCAACAGTATCCTCTGCATGGTCATGCAATAAGCATCCAAAGACAAAAATATATGAAGTAACATCCATTTGTTTAAAAAAAGAAATCAATATTGATTAAACCAAGGAAGTCTTCTTTCACCAGGAATCAGTTTGGTGCCTTATTTCATCTTAACACCTATATCCACAGTTTTCTGGCAATAACTTCATGACAGTGATGCACCTTCACTACTGAAGAAGAAAATAAAAAATTAGTGCCAGACAGGGAAAGAACCACCAATCTGCTTCTGAAACCCTGCATTACACTTAGGGAGCATCATAACTTTATTCAGAAACCTCCATGTATGGACAGAGCAATAAATAAAACAATGAAAGGGATTTAATTGACACTATGGAATCCATACTTACATTCTGTTCCAGCTTGGTGTACTCTGCGCCTTTGGGCCGACGTCCCGATCTCGACCTCTTTCCCTCCACGCAATAGGCAATGATCTGACAAAAACAAACAATAATAGGCCTGTGTCACAACTTGTTTCATTGACTGTTCTCTTACATGTTTTTAGCTAACACATTAATATCACTACTGTCTTGGATGTGCTTGTTTTGGAGGTATCTTTTTATGGACTAATTCATATACTGAACAAAAATATAAACGCAACACGTAAACATTTCAACGATTTTACTGCGTTACAGTTCATATAAGGAAATCAGTCAATCGAAATACATTGATTAGGCCCTAATCTATGGATTTCACATGACTGGGCAGGGGCGCAGCCATAGGCCCACCCACTGGGGAGCCAGGCCCAGCCAATCAGAATGAGTTTTTCCCCACAAAAGGGCATTATTACAGACATAAATACTTCTCAGTTTTATCAGCTGTCCGGGTGGCTGGTCTTAGATGATCCTGCAGGTGAAAAAGCTGGATGTTGAGGTCCTGGGCTGGCGTGGTTACACGTGGTCTGCGGTTGTGAGGCCGATTGGACGTACTGCCAAATTCTCTAAAACGGCAGAGGCGGCTTATGGTAGAGAAATTAACATTCAATTCTCTGGCAACAGCTCTGGTGGACATTCCTGCAGTCAGCATGCCAATTGCGCACTCCCACAAAATCTTTGGCATTGTGTTGTGACAAAACTGCACATTTTAGAGTGGCCTTTTGTCCCCAGCGCAAGATGCACCTGTGTAATGATCATGCTGTTTAATCAGCTTGTTGATATGCCAAACCTTGTCAGGTGGATCGATTACCTTGGCAAAGGAGAAATGCTCACTAACAGGGATGTAAACAAATTTGTGCACAAAATTAGAGAGAAATATGCTTTTTGTGCGTTTGGAAAATGCCTTGGATATTTTATTTCAGCTAATGAAACATGGGACCAACACTTTACAGGTTGCGTTTATATTTTTGTTCAGTATAATAATACATGTATTTTATATAGTGCTTTTCATTACATAGAGAATCACAAAGAGAATCTCAAAGACGCTTATTATGACCCAGATTATGGCGAAGAATCAAAAGCTGTAATGTGTAAATCGATATTAACCAAGTACCTTTCGCTTGTTGTGGTAGCTAATGTAGAGCACTGCCACCAACACAGCTGTACACACAAGATAAGCAAAGAAGTGACTGCTCACTGCCTCATCACGTGTGCCATGGGTTTCCTTTTCAGCAGTGTCTACTGGTGCCGTTTCCTTTTCAGTAGGGTGTACTGGTGCCATTCCCTTTTCAGCAGTTGGTACTGGTGCCATTCCCTTTTCAGCAGTTGGTACTGGTGCCATTCCCTTTTCAGCAGTTGGTACTGGTGCCATTCCCTTTTCAGCAGGGTCTCCTGGTGCTGGTGTTGGTTTCTCTTCAACCGTGTCTACTGGTGCTGTTTCCTTTTCAGTAGGGTCTACTGGTGCCAGTCCCATTTCCATTCCAGTAGGTGCTCCTGCTTCTTGTTTCTTTCCAATAGATGCTCCTGGTGCTGACATGTCCTTTGCCGAAATGATCTGTGCTGGTGTATCACTTACAGGGGCATTAGATAGAGAATTTGGCTCCTTTGATCCTGCTTGAGGAGCACCTGTAGATTTAACAGATTAAATAAGGATGTTGAGCTGATTTAAAATGTTTTGAAAAACATTTGCTGGACTGCCTAGTGAGAACTAAACTGACCGCAGCTCTTACTTATCTATAGTAAGACCTGGAGCGCGCCCACACCCGAATACATATGATGAAGAAAGCTGCAGCAGAGTACAGAGTTTTTAAACCAAAATATGAATAAAAAACTAATGTGGCACTGGCAGTATAGTGTCTGATTTAGCTAGCTCCCTCCATCCAACAATTATTTGATCTGATTAGCTAGCCAGTTCGGTATAACATTAGGATACTAGCAAAGCTAGCTTTCAAAAACCCTTCTCTGTTGGGTTTTCAACAGTTAGCGTCACCCACGGTTGCCTGCGTGTGAACTACAATTCCGACACTGTGTTTTAACGTTTAGAAACGTAAAAAATCATTGCTTGCGAAACAGTTTGAAACATATGCTGATATGCCCCTTATCTTTCATATCAGTGAGAAAGATACTTTCAAATTAAAAATATACACTTAATGTAGCAGTTTTGCACAGATCCATATGCTGTGTGTGCCTCCAGTTGACAAACGACACTTCCTCCCCAGTTACGCTTACACCCAGGTGTTCGGAGCATGCTAGATAGTTAATTAGCACAGGTGAGCGCCTCTCAGTGAATCCCAAACTACTGCCTTGCCCCGACCAACTCGCTCAGAGGGCCCTCTGTTGTCACCTGTTGCTGACGATACTCTGAGGGTAACTTCCAGAGAATGGTGGGGGATCAATAAACCCATCACACACTTGTGACTTAAATGAAGCAATTCATGTTCCAATTTTTAATAATAAAACAAGCATGTTAAATGTTCTATCCTCCGGATCCCTGCTTACAAGCAAAAAATAAAGCAGGAAGCAACAGTGACTCGGTCAATAAAGAAGTGGTCAGATGATGCAGATGCTAAGCGACAGGACTGTTTTGCTAGCACAGACTGGAATATATCAACACCATTATCCCAGAAACCCTAGACCCACTCCAATTTGCATACCGCCCCAACAGATCCACAGATGATAAGCTCTCTATTGCACTCCACACTGCCCTTTCCCACCTGGACAAAAGGAACACCTACGTGAGAATGCTATTCATTGACTACAGCTCAGCGTTCAACACCATAGTGCCTTCAAAGCTCATCACTAAGCTAAGGACCCTGGGACTAAACACCTCCCTCTGCAACTGGATCCTGGACTACCTGACGGGCCGCCCCCAGGTGGTAAGGGTAGGTAACAACACATCTGCCACACTGATCCTCAATACGGGGGCCCCTCAGGGGTGCTTGCTCAGTCCCCTCCTGTACTCCCTGTTCACCCATGACTGCATGGCCAGGCACGACTCTAACACCATCATTAAGTTTGCTTACGGCACAATAGTGGTAGGCCTGATCACCGACAACGATGAGACAGACTATAGGGAGGATCTCAGAGACCTGGCCGTGTGATGCCAGGATAACAACCTCTCCCTCAACATGATCAAGACAAAGGAGATGATTGTGGACTACAGGAAAAGGAGGACCAATCACGCCCCCATTCTCATCGACGGGGCTGTAGTGGAGCAGGTTGAGAGCTTCAAGTTCCTTGGTGTCCACATCACCAACAAACTCTCATGGTCCAAACACACCAGGACTACAGAGGGTAGTGCGTATGGCCCAGAACATCACTGAGGCCAAGCTTCCTGCCATCCAGAAACTCTATACCAGGCGGTGTCAGAGGAAGGCCCTAAAATTGTCAAAGACTCCAGCCACCCTAGTCATAGACTGTTCTCTCTGCTACCGCACGGCAAGCGGTACCGGAGCGCCAAGTCTAGGTCCAAAAGGCTTCTTAACAGCTTCAACCCCCAAGACATAAGACTCCTGAACAGCTAATCAAATGGCTACCCGGACTATTTGCATTGTCAGCCACTGTCTTCAGTCTGTCTTCCGTAAACAAGCGCTGTAACATGGATATGGTCAGTGTGGGAACAAAACCCTATAAAACGTGCTAGAGGCATCACTAGACCCGAGTTTGATCCTGGGTTGTATCACAACCAGCCGTGATCGGGAGTCCCATAGGGTGGCGCACAATTGGCCCAGCGTCGTCTGGGTTAGGGGAGGGTTTGGCCGGGGGGGCTTCACTTGGCTCATCGCGCTCGAATAACTCCTTGTGGCGGGCCGGGCGCCTGCAGGCTGACCTCGGTCATCAGTTGAAAGGTGTTTCCTCCGACACATTGGTGCGGCTGGCTTCCGGGTTAAGTGGGCGGGTGTTAAGAAGCGCGGTTTTGTGGGTCATGTTTCGACTCCCGAGCCCGTTGGGGAGTTGCAGCAATGAGACAAAATCAAAATTGGGGCAAAAAAAGGGTAAAATACAACAAATAATAATAATTTTTAAAAACATTATTTATTGTTGATATGAAAGATAAGTTCCTTCATGTTTCCAAAACCGTACCACAAGCGATGTGTTTTAACATTCAGAAGGAGCGTCTGGTCTCTTAACAAAATTACCCTGGCCAGAAGATACTACAGATGGGTTAGCTGACATCACGAAAACGATGTGCGCTTCCATGGGGCAGAAGTCAGCGGGTTGTTGTTATTCTGGATGGGCAGATTGCTAGCAAGAATGACAAGAAACTGCCATGTGGGAAATCGTATGTTGCTCGTTTCAGCTCGTTTCATCTTGTTATTGATATCATGTCTTGTTTTGAGGTGTTTTGACTGATTTCATGTCAAAGCTAATATGGCAAAAATTCGCAAGCTTGCTAACCAACAACTGTAACAATGTATTTGAGAGACAAGTGCTCATTGTGCAAATGTATTTATGTTTTCAATAAACATTGGAGAGGAAATATAGCTTACATGTTGTCAACAATCTAAGGGCGTGTTTTTAAATTCACTCTGGAGTGCCAGAGTGCGCTCAGAGTGTGCTCTGGCCATTCGTAAATTCAGAGTGTTTCGCACTCAGAGCGTTTAGAGCGCACACTGGACACTCTGGCATATGGTTGATTGAGGGTTCTGACCTCACAACGGCAGTCAAGCAACCAATCTAACTGGCTAAAGTTGGCTAGCTTGCTTGCTAGCTACCTACTTCTAGACACAAATGAGAGAACACCTCATTCTGGTCATTTTACTACCCCTAGCAGAGGTGGTTAGGCTGTTATCTACAGCGTTGGTGTCTGTAACTGTGCTGCTGGCAACAACATAATTACGGGTGTTGCACGTTCGTAAATTCATCAATTATTCTACGCTCTGGCACACTCAAGCTTCATGTCCAGCAGATGCGTTAGACTCTTTGTGTTCAGGTGGAAGTCACGCCTCGATCACACCGGAAGTACATTCATTTCCAATGGAATGCTGCGTTTGCCTTGCAGCATTACGTTGCAGATGCAGTGCGTTGTGCATACGTTCGATTTATCGAACGTATGTGTCAAACTGTATGCGTGGACGGCTTGACAGAAATGGTAGCAGAAGGTGAAGATTGAACTTTTGTTTCACACATATCCAGATGATGCTGCGTACCATTTTGTGTAATGATGCTGTCGGTGTGATCAAGGCATCATCCATTGTCAATGGAGCAGTCTGCAACGCTACATTTGGGATGCCACACTAGGCTGCGGTGCGTTCTGTGTACCGCATGCATTCAATATTTTCAACTTGTGCGTTGCATTACTTTGCGGTGGTACAAACGCAAGTTCATAAAAGTTCCCATGGCGGGGGTGGCACCATAGAGGCCAAATGATGAGGACTATTGTGTAGTTAGAGAAGAGAAGATACCGGCTGAACGACTGGAAAGTTGTCTCAGGTAAGAATGACACAGACAATGCATCATTACGACACTTGGGTAGTGCGCCCAGCCAACAGAATGGTGTGCAAAATTAATACGCACAGAACTGTTCTGTGCATAATTTAGCTTGCCACCATGCAAGAGAAGCTAGTGATTTGAAATCACTACTCTATATGTGAACAACCAGTTCAATTTATTGATGTCTCTAATGATGAGTGACAGAAGAATAGAAACAAACTAGATTAATTGTTGTAATGCACCCTTGTGCTTACCAGTCTGTTGGTAGCTCTGCAAGCCTAAAAAACAGTAGGTGAATAGGAGAATAACTTTCAATTGTTGTAATTATTAGCTTTGGTCGAACAGAGCAAAAATGATTTCCTCCATGCTGCAAACCGTTCTGCAGCCTTGTGAAGCGCACATGTACGGACATCTGGCAAAAACAACACACAGCAAAACGCGTGGACATATGGCATCAGATGAGAGTGCTCTGAAATCGGTGTAGATAGCCAGAGTGAATTTAAAAACGCACCCTAAGCCAACCCTGTCTGTTTTGCCCCATAGTTGCGCACCAACACGTGTTTCGTCAAAAGGCGCTAAAGGTAGTTAGTGTCTATGAATGGGTTATAGCAAAGCTAATTGGCCACGTCATTGGGTAGCTATCTAACGTTAGCTAGCTGTGTCATGTTCCAATATCCCTCTGATCAAATCGATTAATTTAACGTATAGACAGTCTCGGTACACAGCACACGTCAAAGCAAAGATTGGTTGCTCAAAGTTACTGTAACGTTACTTGGGGTAAAACATTTGTTTAAGTAACGTTATATCAGAAGTATGGCATGCACCTGATCTAGGCTAGTTAAAATGAGCAGATTGAGAGCTAAATTAGCTAGCTAGCTATTTTAATATTTGACAAAAACTCTCACCTCTGACACCACCAGACAAATAAGCCAGCACGATAAACAACATAAATATTGTCCTCATTGTGGCTTTGAGGCAACACAAACCTAGTTAGGTATAAGAAATTACTACGGAAAGCTTTCCCGTAAATGCTTGGCTCATAGGCGATAACTCAAATCCTGACATAAACACTTCCTTCCTTCTTCTCCTGTTCATGGCTGCCAAAACCAGGAGTGTAATACGGTGTAATCGTTAGTCCAAACAGTTCCGTTTTGCAAGTAAAACGACAGTTTCTATTGGACAAATTCTGCTAG